CTGGGGAGGGTGAAAAGAGCCTCCCTCCCCCAGAGATGCTCTGGAGGCCTCAGGAGCTTTCCTGAAGCCTCCAGAGGGCTTAAACCGACCCTACGAGCAAACTGGAAGTTTGTTCCCGAACTTCCGGTTGGCCAACAGGGCCGCTTTTGCCCTCCGGAGGCTTCAGGAAAGCTCCTGAAGCCTCCAGAGCATCTCTGGGGGAGGGAGGCTCTTTTCACCCTCCCCAGACTCCTATAAAGCGTGCTGGCCAGCTGACAGGGCAATGCCTTGCGTGCACTGACAAATGGCTCTGCGTGCCACCTGTGGCATGCGTACCATAGGTTCACCATCCCGGCACTATACAAATAACAATTCAGGACAGTGACTTGGATAGTTTCCTTATACTGGATTTACAAAAGGGACTTATTAAACCTTTGAAGAATTTGGTGTGAAGAAAAAGAAAAAAAGAAATCAAGTTTTTAGATAGTGGCCCCCAACCTTCTGGGCACTAAGGATTGGTTCTGTGGAGAGGTTTTTCTGTGGACAAGAGGGGACGTGGCTTTGCATATTGCCTGCATCCTGCAGATGGGGGCTTGCTTGTTTGCGTGGCTCTGTTTCTGGCATGCCACACATTGGTGCCAATCCATGGACCAGGGGTTGGGGACTCCTATTCTAGGGCACTATTTGAAGGGATTACAGATCAAGATTGATTTACATATGTAGAAGGAAAGAATATAAAATTAGTATATTTGATCAAGATCAAATAGATGTAATATCTCTGTATTAATGGACTTTTGCTGACATCTATATTGAAATGACACGGCTTTAAGGATTTATTTGTAGATATGGGAAGAAGAGATAATTTGCTATATTTTTTAAAAAAGTAAATGTCTAAAATTGTTTATGCTTTTTGTGATGAAGGAAAAGCCCTTTGTATATTTTCCTTTTCTTTTTCTTTATTCTTATTTTTCTTTTTCTTTCTTTCTATTCCTCCCCTTTTTTAGTTTTATTAGGTTTTTATTATAGCAATTTAATAAAATTATTATTTAAAAAAGCAAATGACATGGAACAAATCCTTCACAGGACAGGTAAGATATTTAACCTTCCCCACCTTTTTCTTCTCACATTTCCCACCTGAGTTTTCAAAAGCAGGTCTACAAAAGAAGCAAAGTTCTCAAATCCCAGTCAGAACAGAAAGAAACAAGTAGGAGAAATAAAGAAAAAAATCAGGTGCTTTGTCTAAACATTGCCTACTGAGTGACACTGTTAAAGGTAATGAAACACTTGAGATAATCCCCCAGGAAGAAAGGAGAATTTTCACACCAACAGCTCACCAGCAGATCAATGCATGAAATACCTGGCAGCTATAATCTGTGCGGGTTGCAAGTCATGAATGCACTTCCACTATTAATATATGAAGATGTGTCCTGCCCCTGAGGCTCAGAAGGAGAACTTTGCTACTCAACCATTAACATATGAAAAAATGCCTTGCCCCTGGGGCCTCCAAAGCAGAACTCTGTTACTCAACAATTCCTCTCTGTAGTACCATATTTTTGGAGTATAAGATGCACCGGTTCCCCCCCAAAAAGGAGGGTGAAAATCTGGTTGCCTCTTTATACACTGAATACAGCATTTTTTGCCTCCCAAAACCCCACCCTCTTTGAAAATATGTACGTGCAGAGGGTTTGGAAGGCCTGCAAAGTGCTTCTGGGTTGTTGTTGTTTTTTTCAAAAAATGGGCTGTTTTTTGCTCGTTTTTGCCCCTCCTCGGCCCCCAGGAGCACTTTGCAGGCCTCTCAAATGCTCTGCATGCCCCATTTTTCACAAAAATTGAGGTGTGCAGAGGGTTTGGGAGGCCTGCAGAATCCAAAAACTTTTTTTTAATTTACCTTTTTAAAATCTTGGTGTGCCTTATACTCCAGTGTGTCTTATAGTCCGAAAAATATGGTATTTAGTGCAGTAGCACTACTGCAAATTCCACAGAAAAATATTGAAATCTTTGCTGCTCATGTTTCTTGGATTAAAAAGAATCAATTTGAAATGATAGTGTGATGAAGCCCAAGCTTTGTTTAGCCTAATCTTTCAAAATTCTTCTGAGCTAATTCTTCCAAGGTAGCTATCTACCCCTACCTCAATCATTCCCCTACCTCCACCCCTTTGTGAATAAAGAAAAGATGTCCTAGTAGGAACGCTGACATTTAACTGTTGCAGTGATGGTTCCTTACTTGCCTACATGTACCATTTTTCATTAAGAAAATGTCAGAATGATCTTTACGCCTGGACACAAGACAAAAATCATACTGGTCACTGTCAGGGATGGCCTGGGCTGGAACATGAATGAAGGAAATGCAACCACCTTTGTCTTTCCAGAACACTTCACTGCTTTCAACATGGTCAACTACAGTTATTCTGGATTACCTGCAAATTTTGGGAATGGAGGACATTGTACTATGGTAGTTCTACCCCTTCCTAAACAAGGGATTGTAATTGGTGGTTATGAAGAAGAAGTCCAACCCTCAGGCACTCCAGGATGGGATGTCCTCAAATTCAATGCTTACCCCGGGGAAAAAAAGTTTAACCTATGAACGAAGCCACCTTGTTGGTTCAGGGTGAGGTATCATCAGTACAGTTATGATACCTAGTTTGTTTGTTTGCTTATTTATTTATGGTGTTTAGCGTATGGATAGTCCATCATACATGGACTACATGTGACCTAGCTTAGTAAAACACAGTAATATATAAATGTTAAAAATATCTTTGTTCAACTATAGCTGATAGATACCCAGTTATATACGGGGCCAAACAGCAATATAGTGGAAGTTTGGCTTTCATGTCTAGAGACTTCCAAGCCCTGGATGGGGAGAAACAGACTCCAATTCAACCCAGGTAAGATTTGGTGACATAATTCAGAAGCCTAGTAATTTTGGGATTATCCCAACATGGCCACTCTGCATCTTTTTTCTCTATTATAAAGCACCTATGATAGTAGCATTTACATTTAGCTACCTGTAAGTATAAATTGGCCTATTTTTTTTGCTGAGTCCTAAAGAATGGTTCTACTTGTTCGTATTTATAGAGAGACTTTTTGGTCCCATAGAATTAAAAGTCATAGATATCCTTACCATCCTTTAATTCAGTTTCCCCCAGGACAATATACAAAGACCCAAGCTGGGCCTGAAAGGGTTCTACAAACTTTGTGCAAACTGGAATACAGTGCTGATCAGATGCATGCTGAGCTGTTAAGATGGCTTGTGAAATAGCCATATCATAAGAGTGAAGCCTGAAAGACAGAAAGATTCAGACGCTGTGAATAGTTAAGATACACACATTCATTTCCAGAATACCCATAATACTAAAATATGTATATATCATGAGATAGGAGAAGAAATATTAATTCATATCAAATAATACAGTATTTAAAAATATGTTTTAGCCATGTTTTATTTTATTTAGGCAAGCATAACAGTGTGACAGAAATAGAATATGTAAAACAATATACATAATATTTAGAAAAAATAGTTTAAAATCTAGAGGTGTCAAACTTGATTTCATTGAGGGATGCATCAGGGGTTGTGTTTGTCCTTGGAGGACCGGGGGGGGGGTAGTGGTGTGGCGTGGCTGAGGATAGGTGTGGTGGGGGATGGATGTGGCCATGGTGGGCATGAACAGACATTAAACGAATGCTTGTAAGTCAGGGACTCCCATTATTTTTGAGTTGTAGCCTACACTCATTACCCTTTGACTCACAGAGCTGTTTTGAGATATTTTCGGGTGAAGATGAAAGGAATGCTTAGCTGGATTTTCTAACTAATCTTTTAAAAATTCTAAAGATGGTTTTGTGTTTGGAATAGTAACTGCTACCTTCCACTCTCAAATATTGTTCAACTGTAAAACACTCTCAGATTCCTTTCCTTAAGAGAAGTAATAAAACTTCATGGGGAGAGTGGTAAGGCATTTCTCTAGTAAATTCATTTTTACTTTTTTTTACACCTCCTTATGGCTTCAGTTAGTCCTTCTAACTCAGCCTTTCTTGGGGGTTTTGAGTGCATCTTCTGCCTTCTCACAACTCACTGGAGCAACGAAGAATAATGAATATCTTTAGGGAATACAGTAAATGCCAAGAATTGGTGATACCATTCAAAAGGTGATACATCTTACCATCAATGTTCCCTCTAATTTTTTTTCAGTGTGGCCGGAAAAGTATAGTGTTTGAGCGGCACATTTTCATGCCTGAGCACCTGAATTTTTTTCACAGATGCCACCCAAGACCATTCTAGTTTAAACTTCCAGCTGCACTTTTTCTTCATAACAACATTTACTCCAGCTTTACGTTTTGACATCAGCACTGACTGATGATGTACCTATAGGGTTAGGGTTTATCAATTATTACAATTATCTTTTCAAATTCATTTTGGATTAAATAAAAAAGAGCTTTGAAATGAATATATAAATGGCACTTAATACCACTAATATTAAAATAGTAAATGTTGTTACGAAGA